GGGCGGGCGGGGAGGAGCGGAGCCCCCCCAGCCCCCCCAGCCCCTCACCCAAACCGGGGGGAGCGAGGGAGGGGCCCGGGGGTCCCGGCGCGGCGGGAGGGGCCGCCCAGGAGGTGGCAGCAAACACCGGGACAGCGGAGGGTCCCACGGGGGTCCCGGGGCTGGGGGGGGTCACACACAGGGAAACCGGCCAGAAGCTCCAGCAAGAGCTGCCGCAGCCCTGGAACCTCCTCATCATTCCCGGGGTGCTCCTCGTTATCCCGATCCGCTGCCCTCCCGCACGTTCCCGGGAAGCTCAGCGATTCCCACGGGAGTCCCTGCAGCTCCCGTGGGCAGGGGGGGCTGCACGGGGACCCCCAGCCCTCGGACTCCTCCTGCTCCCCACCCGCAGCCACGATGCTCAGGATGCTCGTGGGAAATCCGTCTCCAGGGGTCAGGAATTGTCCCCTCCCGGGCAGAGGGGGGTGCCCTGTGCTCCTCCGGAGGGCGGGAGGTGAAGAAAGGCACCCACACAGCTGCACACCAGCCTGGTGACCAGTTTGGGCACCTCACTGGTGGCACAGCACCTGCCCCAAGGCTCTGCCTGAAGCACAAGGGACCCATGAGCTCCACCTCAAAGCCCCCCTGGAAGCCGGGAAGGGCATCAGCAAGGTTACCCTTCACCTCCCAGCCCTCCTGCCCACAGCCCCTCCAACACATCCCTCCCTCCCCGGGAGGCTTCCAGATGTTTTCCAGGCAGGTGAAGCAGGTCCTCGGGGTTTGGGTTGTAAAAGCAGAGCACCAGGAGGAGGAAAACCAGCCGAGTGACAGCTCTGGGATTGGGGCTGAAGAGCAAGAATTCACAGAGCCACTCGTCGGTGAACACCGGGTACAGAAAGGCAGAACAGAGGGAACAGTGACAACCCCGTGGCAGGAGCTGTGGCTCTGCGAGCACGGGCAGGCAGCCAGGCTCTGCTCCAGGGACCTGCAGGGTCCCCGTCCAGCCTGCTCTGCTAAACAAGGCGCTTGTACAGTGAGGGCGGGTTTGGAAAGCACACAGGATTCTTGCAACTGAGAGCTGAAGCCCAGGAGAGAGGGATAAAAGGAAAAAAGAACAAGACAGAAAACACGCTGTTCCGAGGAGAGAGTCCAAGAACCTGTCACAGCCACACGAGGCAGAAGAACATGAGGATCACAGCTGTACGTCACCCGGTTCCTGACAAACAGCAGCTCCCATGGAGCAAAGATCAGCCCTGGGAGCTCGTGGCTTCTCCTTGGTATCCACAGCAGGTTCCCAGAGGACCTCCAAGAGCACACCAGTGATGGCCCAGGCAGCAGCGAGGTGCAGAGCAAGTGTGAGCCACTCCCTCACCCCGAGGGAGCCCCTGTACTAGTCCCAGTTTGTTTCTTCCATCCCTGCTAATCCCAACCACCGGGAGCAGGAGTTCCCACCGGGGAGAAGGGAATTAGATTTTCTCAAGGATGCTAATCCATTTAAATACAGCACTCAGGAGACTCAGCACTTTCCCCAGCCTGCAGCCCTGCTCCCCACACAGCCCCCCCTCCCTTACATGCCCAGGGAGACCGAGTTGGGTCCCATCCCTCGAGAGCAGCAAGCTGTGACAGCAGTGGGGCTTGGAGAAGCAGCAGCTTCCTCCAGGTCTTACTTAAGAGAGAGCTGTTTTAGTCCAAAATGACATCAAGTCATTTGTGGACTTGCTCACAGAGCAGCTGATCCCAGGGAAGTTGGAACAGCTCTATCCTCACTTGAAGACCCACAGCAGTTAAAGAGGGTTGGCTTGAAACTCAGTCAAGCAAGACTCTCTGCACATTCCTTCCCAATATTTGAGGGCACAGGAAGGTGCTGCTGTTTTCAGGGGGCACACACAAGCCCATCTCAACCTCCCTCTGTCTCTTCCAGCTGCACAGGGACAGCCCTCTCAAAGAGCCATCACAAAACTGATGACCAGAGAAGGGACGGACTCACCTCCTTGTGCCACGCTGCATCTGTGTTACTTGCTGGAGGAGCTTCAGTAGCCCCAGAAACCAAGTGATGCTGCTCCTGCAGAAGTCAGTTGTGGGTCAGACACTGGAGACATCTTGGGAGCTGCTGACAAAGTCTCTTTGAGCTGCAGGCCACCACCAAGCCAGGCCTCTTTGGTAAACCTCCCCCTTTGGTAAACCAAGAAGTTACACAAGCACGAGCACCCTGTTATCCACCTCCCCAAAGTAACTGCAGATTAGAAACAGTCCAAAAAGCCAATTTTAGAAAGTACCAGTTTATTTGAGGAAAAAAATAATAAAAAAAATAATTAACAGTGGAAAATCCTCAAGAGCAATTACACAAGAGAACCTAAATACCCAGAGAAGCAGACACTGCTCCTGCCTTCCTGGCAGTGCTGTCCATAGGCAGTAAAATCCTCCCTCCTTCCCAGCCTGCAGTGAACTCTGTGCAGCTTTTAGAGCCTCCCAGAGCCTGCAATTTCCCCAAACACACTTGTACTGGGACCAAGCCAGTGAGTCAACCTGGAGGAGGAGCCTGGGGGAATGTCCTCTCCCACCCATGTCCCAACACACAGCTCCCCTGTGCTCCCCACTTTACCTGTCCAGCTCTGAGAAGCAGCTGCCACCACATGAAGCTGAACTTGTCCTACTGTGTCTGTGAGTTTGGCCTCAAGCCTGCAACACACCCTCAGGAAGGAGGCTTCAGGGGTCAAGATTTCTAAACAGTCCTTGCAACCTGCTCAGTCTGGGGAGCCACACTCAGATTTTGTCTTACACCACCCCAGGTCCCAAAAGCTGTGGGAGGACACGACTTGCACAAAGCAGCTCTGGAGCAGCTCCCTGAAGCAGAGGCAGGGACACACACCTCACCCTTTGCTCTGGGAGCACTGGGGGAATTGGTCCAACTCTCAGTAGAGGTAGGAGCTATGTACATGGTCTAGCAAGACCCACTGCAGGAGGTTCAGAACTGGCTCTCTACAAAAAGCTCAGTGCTCCCAGCTGGGAGATGCCACCAAGGCAGCCTTCCAGCTCCCAAATCCAGCCTTCCACAAGAGGCAGGGACTCAGCACAGTACTGCAGGGGACTCTGCAACTCAGCCATCCCCTAAAACCCAGGTATTTTCTCCATTCTGTGAGCTCCCAGCCCTTGCTCCAAAGAGCAACCCCAAATGGGGACCTCTGCTCCAAGGCAGAGGATCAAACCCAGCACAACCCCACCCTCAGCCTGCCTCCAGGTACCGGGACAGGGCTCCAGCTGCTCCCACCATGAGCCACTGGGACAACTGGACTTCCTCTAGACAGCAGCACAAACCAGACCAAGTTTCCTACACACAGTAAGGCTGCTGAAGAATTAACTCCAGCCTTTTCACCTGGAACTGTCTATTTACCAGTAGAAGTTATAAAATATAGCTCTATAGGACTGATTATAATATATTACAAGCTAGAAATACTCTCATCTTTTCCCTGCTTCAATCATTAAGAATCCAATTTTGCATACAGATTAATCCTAGAAGTTATTGCCTTGAATTCATAATTAAAATTCACAGAATAAAGCTTAAATAGTTTTCATGGAGACTCATTATATTAGTGTTTTACATAAAAAGGATAAAAGTTACCAAATGAGAAGAGCAGCCATTTCAGAAACTATAAATAATTCTACTTTAAAAAAAAATAAATCAAAACCTAAAAAAGTTATGGGAAAACCATAAATATCTTTGCCCTCTACAGTAGCTGCTAGAGAACTAGAAGAAACCTGTAACACACTGTAGCTAATTCTGCTTCAGTTCAGAATATAAATCATATAAAACAACAGCTCTACAGAAATGCCTGGCCAAAGGAAACACAAAGGGATTGAAAAAATAAATCTGAGGAAATTAAAAAAGTAGATATTCTGGTTTTATTATTTCAAAACAATTTCTACAAACTTTATATAAACATTAGGCTATTTTCTTTAAAATTCTGTTATAAAAAAAATCCTACAAGCAATCCTTAAAAAAAGGTAAGGGACTGAAGGCAAGGAAAGGGTGGTGTTATTGCCAAACTAAACTGGCTGTCCTGATCTCAGGGACTAAGGACCCTTGCCTGGGGCCAACAGGAATAGACAGGAAGTCTCCTGGGAAAGACATTCCCAAAGGCCCTTTATGGCACTCAGGGATTCTGAGCCCCTATGGGCCTTTTACTCCCTGATAAGGCAACCTTATCTGTAGTGTAAGAGATTCATAAATAGTTTTCCACAGAAATGCTTCACATGGACAGCCTGCTGCAAGACATCTATTAGCAAGGTTGATTAAAAAAAAAAAGCCACCTTCTAGAGAAGCAGCCCATCTGAGCACAGCACACTGGAGACAAACACATGGTGCTTGCTTCCATACAGTCTGTTTTGTGTTTATATACTCTAAAACCAAGCAGAAAAATAGGCATCTTTATACTTTTTTACACTAGCTTTAGAAAAAAAAAAATAAAATACACTGAGGTGTTGTTTTGTTGGGGTTTTTTTTCAGACTCTTTGTATTTCTTTGGGCCCTTGTTAGTGGGAAGGGAAGGGTCACGGAGGAAGTTTTGTTTTTTTCTCAAAGTCGCTTTGAAACTCAATCCAAAAAGAGCATTTGTTCAGCACATCTCATCTGAGGGCACAGTGTTTCCATGCAGTCTGTTTGTCCCTTGATGGGCACAAGGTGCTGCTGAGCTTTAAGCATAGAACTCGTTTGTAGGGGCTTTCTTGTAGATGGGTTTCTTCCCAAGGTCGTAACTGCCCTCGTCCTTCTTCTTCATGCGATAGACTAAGAGGAGGATGAGGAAGACAGCAAACAGGAGGCCCACTGCCCCTCCTGCAATGAGAGCTGGAGAGATACAAAAAAGAGCATGGATTAAGTCTCAACTCCTGGACAACTCCAAACCATCAGCTACCTCTCAAAATCTCCTCCAGGAGCACCAGCCCCCAGACCTGCCCATGCGCCCGTCACCGTCTTCTGGCAACTCCAGTGACGGATGTTACTGGGAAAGGCCAGAAATTGCTTTTCAACCAGGGAATCATCACATGTTCTACATTCATCAGTTTGTGTTCATCTTCCAGTGTAGTGAAAGAAAAAAAATGTTGACAAAAAGTCATCCTCCCTGCGTGGAGATGAAACCAAAGAACTTAGCCAAAAGAAGCCCCACCACAACCCACAGTGCGAGCACAGTCTGGGGACTCTATTTCAATTAAACAGCAGCAACAACCCACTGGCATCACCACCTCCTTCCAACAATCAAAAACCACAAACCCACAAAACCCCACCATATCATCTCTCTCCTCACACCAAGGGTGCCCACAAGACTTCAGTGGAGCTTATCCTTTGCTGTGACACCTACTCATTGCACTACATCAACTCATTTGTTGGGTAGCTTTGCAATCCACTCCTCCAGCTGGGAAGATGGCTGCAGATTGGGAAGAGGTGCCAAGGTTTGTACTCAGACCATTGACAAGTGTCTGATGAAGCTTTCCTATAGACAAATCTGTCCCACATGCTGAGGGGGAGTCAATTGCTTGGTTTTACTCTTGACAGAGATACTTAAATTGAAACAGTTGACTGGGTGTTCAAAGCCCTGAGAGAGGTTGTTTTGTTCCTGGCAAGGCTCAGAAAAGGCAGGACTTGGGGTGAGGTTAGAAGGAAAAACACCTGCATTTTATATGAAAATCCATGATGTCATTGATTTATGGCCAGATACACCTCTTGTTGATGTAGAAACTGGGTGCAGAGCAGCTGCCACATGATTTGGGTGGCACTTAAGGCAACAGTCAGCTGGCAGGCTCAGAACCAACATGTTTACCCTAGTAAACTTCAGCTGTTTAAGGACTAGAAGGCAGAAGTGACCCTGCTACAGGTGGTCACAGAGGTACTGACTGCATCTCCCTATCCTTGACAGCAGTGGCACCACTCCCCAGAGAAACAGGAAACAATAGAAGCCATTTTGTTTTACAGTATTAATGATTGATCAGGAGAAGGTGGAGTATTACCTGTAAGGACTTCTGTTCTTTCAAAGATGCTGCTGTTGGCTGTGCTTGCCATGGAGATCTTGTTGGACAGGTTCTCTTCGACAGGTACAGCTTTGTCTGGAATGATTTCATTGTCCAGCATTGTGTTTTTCTTCTCACCTTCTATCTTTCTCTCAGTATCTCCAGGGATATGGTTGTCAGATATCTACAGAATACAGACAAACCACACCCATCAGTAAGCAGCACCCAGCCTGCCTGCCATTGAAAGTAGGAGGGTGTGCAGGGAAGAAAAGTTTGCTTTGTGCATTATGAGCACACTGCTCCTGCAGGTAGATTGATCTTGATGCCATGTCTTGCAGGGGGAAGGGTATTCAGAAAGCTTCACAGACAGCCCAGAGTAGCTACACATGGCTTAAAACATGCAGAGGCAATACCTACCACAGGAGTATCCATGGTGGTCAGATATATGGTTTCTTCAGAGTCTGGATAGTCTGCAAAGAGAGGGAGAAAATAAAGAAAACTAAAAAAAGAGGACACTAAAATTTCCGTCTCATTACATGCCATTTTTCCAGAATTCAGACACTTCCAGCAATACCAGCCACTGCAGACCAACTCCTGCTCTCTGCTGACTACAATTCCCTCTTATCTCCTAGTACTTCTGCCACTTAATGGCTTTGATTGCACAAGACCAGGAGATGCAATCCTGAGATCAACACCTCTCCAAGGGAAGGGATCTTCAGCTGGATCCCTTGGCCCCTGCTACAGATTATCAGGAGCTGCCCTGCTGAGCAGGTCTGCTACAGCTTGCTAAACTGATGCCAATGGGGAGGGCAAGGCTCTCACCACCCATCCCTAAAGCAGAGCTCACCAATCCTCCACTCACCAGATCTGCCCAAACACGTCGGGCACCGATTTCAGCACTTGTTCTTTGCCTTTTAGAGAACAAATGTTCACAGAAAGGGGACATGGAGCTACAGAAACTGGTTTGGGCAGGGAGCTTTGCATACGTCACAGAGTTCACCTGAACACCGTTTACTCCTTTACCTTGTTTGGTCTCAGCTGAAACACTAACTTTAAGCCTTTTAAGACACTACCTTAAAAATGGATTTTTTTTTAAGCTTCTCAGGCATTCTTTGGAGTTTGAGAGGCAAGAGATCCAGCCAGTGCTGTGCCTTCTCACTTGAGTAAGACCAGCTTGGCTGGCCTTCATCTGTCACCCTTGAGTGATTCAACATCACAGTACAACCACTTTCACTGTTCTCATCTGTAAGTGACTACAATTTCTCATCTCCACCTGACACTGTAGTTCCCTCTGGAGCTCTGTTGTGCACTTAGCCCATCACTTGTGGGCTGGTACTGGAAGAAATTTCAAAGCATCAGCTGAGGGAGACCCATTTGCCCCCTTCCCTGCTTACCTCCAGATCCAGATGCCTCATCTATATCTACCCCATCAGTAGTTAAGTGAGGCCTGAATTCACCAATGTCTTCATCATCTGGCAAGTCTCCAGAGGCAGGATAGTCAAGCCATCGGGCATCAATGGTCTCGGTTTCTCTCACCTGTAAATGGGGTCAGAGAAGTGGTGTCAGGCATCTCCTCAGAAGCACTTTGCAAAAGGTCAGGAGCCTGTTCTGAGTACATCACTTCCATCAGAACATTAAATGCTGAACTTCCTCTCCAGCAAAAGCATTATATTAATCAGCCTGAAAATAGCTGAATTCCCCTAGAATTTCTCAGAACAGAAAAACCAGCCTGGGAGGGGAATTTCCTGAGTGTACAGACTCAGGAGGTTCACTTGAACCCACAGGGTGAAAATAACACAACAGCACTCTCTAGTCAGGAGTTTGTAGCAAAAGCATTTGGAAAAGCAATCCCTTCCGTTTGCGATAAGGGGGGATTTGGAAGAACTTGCTATTCCCAGAGAAAAAGCCTGGCACCTATAAGTCAGTATTTCACATAGCACCAAAGCCTCACACCAAGGCAGTTGGTTGCTGCTTGTACTGTGAACAAACCCAAGGGTTAAAAACTGGTCTGTCAGTTCAGCTGAATTGCAGTGCAATATAGTGTGACGTTCAAGAGCACTTGCTATCAATAATGACCTGCCTGAAGGAAGAGCTTCCCCTGCCTCACCTGTTAAAACACACATAAACAAACAAGTCTGTAAAATGAAGTCCACAATCCTATGGTCAGATGACTGCAGCTACAGACACAAGCAAGCTTCCCACAGAATCAGCTGCTTTGGCCACAGCAGCAGCTTACATACTGGAGCTCATTTGCACTTGGACCTCCAAGGAGCCACAAGCCCAAACCTCCCGCCCTCACCACGGTTATGCAATTTCCCCAGAACAATTTCTCCTCACCCCAGAGCCCTGGGGCCAGCCCTGCTGAGGGTACCTCAGGTATGAGTTGAGGTTGCTCAACACCAGCCCACAGATTCCAGCAGCTCCAGATGCCTCCACAGCCATGAAGTCATCACCATGGGAGGGAACTCGACCCCTTCCCCTAGAGTGAGATGCACAATGCAAATGGATGGGTCCCAGAATCAGGGGCTAAACCTACCAACATTTTCATGCTGTCCCCACAGAAAGGTTTGGAACATGATCCTTGGGCATCTCCTAGAACTTCAGCTCAAGTCCTGAAGGCTTAACTATCCAGGAGAGCAGTCCTGCACATCAGACAGCTTTTCTTAACATACAGGTTTACCATGAGCTACAGCACCACTGGAGGTGAGGACCAGAGACTCCCAGGGACAGGTGGAGCTGGGTGGCACCACCTGAGCCCCAGCACTTGCTGCTTCAACAAGGCAGTAGTGAGACCCTGAATATGAAGTAAGGGGTTTTGCAGCTCCAGGATCTGGGATCAGCCCTCCTGCTCACCTGGCCACATCTGGCCCATCCTGCAGCCCCAGGTGACACCAAGTGACAAATCACATCCGCTATTGATTACAAGCCAAGGCCACTTAGCAGCCACAAGCCATGTGTCAGCTTCCTTTGCCCATAGCCCCAGCCCTGCTCCCAGCCCAGACTTCCCTGCCCATTAAGCATACTGGTTTTGCCACAAACAAGGTCTTGTGGTCAGGACCAGCTGTTTCTCATTTTGCATAAGGAGCAGTGGCTACTAGATGTGCTTTTCATCAGCTTATTGAGGCATCTTTTGGTTTCCCCAGCACCTCTGCTGGAGGATAACCAAACGAACAGCCCAGAGGCCATGAAGTGCTGAGGCCAGCTTGCCTCCCAGACCCTTGCCCCTGCTCTGCCAGAGTCTGGTAATAGATGACGGGAAGGGAGCTGGGGAGGAAGGGCACCTGGGGAGAAATACCCCTCCCGGCCTGGAACCAGGCATTCCTAACATTATGGATCACTCGCTCCAAGGCAAATTCATTTCAAGATACGTGACAGGCAGCCAAAGCCCAACCTGCAGCGGAAACTGCTGCCAGCACGCAGATGCAGTTCCCACGAGAGCTTCTGGCCATTTCATCAAGGGGCAGGAAGTGTCCCGTTCCCATCTGCCTGAGCTCCAGAGCCGGGGGCTGGGAAGCACCTCTGCTGCAGAGCCCAACATCCCGGCTGCTGCGCCAAGATCAGCGCTGGCCAGAGCCCGGCGCGCAGCCGCACCCCGAGCCAGCTCACACCATCCTTCCTTATGAATCACAGCCAGCTAATGCCCTAACGAGGGCAGCTCAAGAAAACCCACGATCAGGGCACCCAGTGGCTGGACAGCGTGCTGGCCTTATCAGATCAGCACAGCCCTGAGCCATGAAGTGGCAGGCTGCCACGGCCATTACTGCACGCTGTGGAACGCACCAGGTTTGGCTATCAGAAAACCCTATTTAAATCAGGACAGGCAGTGTTTACAAGCCAAAGGACATAACAAGGAAATTACTGACTCACAAGCGTAAATAAGATTATATGGGAGTGTTCCTTGAACTCACTCTTCATCATCATCTTAAGCAAGGACAAGGAAGTTCCTGGAAGCCACAAGAGCTTCTCGGACCGTACGGGAAACTTTTTGTGTGGGCAGTGAGTCTCAATTTACAAATTCATCTGCCAGGGAGGTTAAGAGGGCTGCTGGGCATATCCATATTTACCCTCCAGGTTTCAAGACATGCTATCCCAGGAAGCAGGCTCCTCCTGGGAGCTGGGGCATGGGCAGTGCAGGAAGAGTTAAGGCTGGAGTACTGCGCTGGAAGGGCAGGTCTGGAGCAGGCACATTCCTCACATACACACCTGTGAGGGCACACAGGCACTTTCACAGGCTTAGCAGCAAGGGCTGCAAACTTCAAGTGCCACAATAAAGAGCTCTCTGGAGAACTGCTAAAAAAAGGCAGCCCTTTCCAAGAGGATTCAGTCCTCCCTACTACCAGGTGAAGAGGCAACATGAAAGGTGTCCATGCTTCATCTCGGCTGGCAGGCTGCAGTCAAGAGAGAAAGAGCCAGGAGACTGCCCTGTTAGGTCAGCCCTTGCCAAGTCATCTCTGGCCACATTCAGCTTAACACCTTCTGCAACTGCCAGCTGGAGAAGGGCACCAGCACTGCTCAGAGCCTGCTTCCCACCACCTGTCGTCCCAGCTCTGGAATTGGGCCAGGAACTTGCTGGAACAGTTGGACAGGGTGGCTGCACAGCCCCACCTCGCAGCTGAAGTCAAGCCCTGCTATTAATACGCTCCTCTCTCGGAGAGATGTCTGTACAGAAATCAACCTTTTCTGCAGGAGTCTAGCTCCAGGATTTCTTCCTCATGTTAAGCAGCTTTTATCCCCAGTAAGCACCAAGGGGGATTTACCAACATGCTGGGAAGCAGAAGCCTTTCTTGCCTGCCAGTGGCAAAAAAATAAGTTTATTCCCTGCCAGGCAACCAGCACGTCAGGCATGTGTACTATGAGTGTCATTCCTGGAAGAGCTGGACACAAAGGTCTCATGTTTGAGCCCGAGACAGGCTGCACTACTGGATGAAGCCAGACACTGCTCAGTCCAGGCACAGGAATTACACCCCTGGCACCCAAGCAGGGACTTGCAGCCCTGCTGTGCTCCACCCCCAGCCCACCCAACTCCATTTCATGCCCCTGAGGCCTTTGCTTACAGCCCCATCTCAAAGCAAGCACATCTATTTTTTGAGGCAGCAAGCAAAGTTTCTGTCCAATGTGTGAATTTCCCCAGCTGCTTGTTAGTTCTGGGAAATAAACCGAGGCAGCTCCTCTGCCCCAGCCCACACATCCTCACCACAACCTTTGCAAATCCTTTAACAAAAAAAAAAAAAAAAAGAACAACAAAAAACCCAAAACAAAACTCCGAACAGTGTTTGGGGCAGAGACTAAGGTTTCCAGACATGGAACTGGCTTTTACAGTTGGCCCTTGTCTCTGATCAAACACACCAGAGCTCATTAAAAGCTTCTTTGAAGGGTCACAGCCAGCAAGCTGCAAAGGGAGTCAGACCTGCAGAGACTTGGGCATCCAAAGCGCAAGGAGCTCTTTATCACTTTATAACCCAGCTTGCTCCTGCGCCTCCCTCCCCAGCACTGTGCACACAAGCCTAGGAGTAAACAGGAGCAAGGTGAAAGTCAGCCTTTCCTAGACAAAAGCACCTGGAGCTGGGCCAGCCTGGAAGGTGGCAGAAGAGGGGACAGAGGTGCAGATCTGTTAACTCTCTGCAGTGCGCAGGGACAGATCAGTGTAAGCTGTTCCTGGGGCTCTTCTCAGGTGCTCTTCACTAGGGGACAGTCATACAAATCATCTCATTTCATTTCAGCAAGCAGCATCACACAAGATACCTTTCCCAGACCTGTGCTGTCACAGACAGATGTCACCTCACACCATCACAATGCACTTCTAGATCAGCTGAACAAGAAAGGGCTCCCAGATGATACTAGCAGATGCCTGCATGGCCCAGCCTTGGAGTCTGGTTATTAAGAGATCATCCTGGCCCTCCTGCTGCCCTGCATCATGAACCAAAGAGCAGCAAATCTAACTGGGCCTTTCCAGTGCAAGGATGCAAACTCTGTGAACCACCAAGCCTGAGAGAGGGGATTTCCATACAGTTCACTTCCACCCAGCTCTTGCAGGAGCACATGAACCAGGAGGGTTTTAAAGTTCACGCAAAGCATCCAAACCTCCACTTCTGCCCATGTGTGAAGGGTATCATTTTATGTCTTGTTCCTGGTCAGTTTGTCCCACATAATTTGCAGCTCACATGGCCCATCCTGGCTTCTGTGCCAAAGGACAGAAGTTAAACAGCTCCCATGCAGGTACATGTGTGTTTAGTTGCATGACAGGATCACCCTGAGAGACTCAGTCACCCCGAGACTTTCAGACGTGGCTAAATTGTGCTATTGCTCAACACTTTTCAAGCAGTCCTGGAGCAGAACCACAAGTAGAGTGACTTTGGGAAAAGCCAGCCTTGCCCCTCTCCTCTCCAACAGCCACTGTGTACAGGTGCACTCCCATCCCAGCAAGCAGCAAAGGTAAATCCAAAGCACCTCTGAGGACTAAGGGGGAACCAGAGACAGAAGCACAGGTTAGGGCTTGCAGGCAGCCCCTGGCTAGCAGCAGGAGCTAACACTGCATCCCCAGTACCCCAGGATCAGTTCTTGCACACTACCCCTTGCACTTGTATCTCTTACCAAAGAGGGACATTAATATTATTTTTAAATTGTGCTCAGTAAAAAAAGGCAAGGAGTAGGGTCTTGCTTAATGAGGCCAAGGAAGAGCAACATGCAGGCTGACAAACTGTTCAGCTGGAATATGCATCACTCATTCAGGGTGACTTAGGAGAAGCATCCCCGCTGCCTGTCCAGCCATGTCCCTGTGTCCATGCAGCCACGTAACCAGTCCTGTGTGCTGAACTTGTCAGGGACTACCACAGCCTCAGCCTGGGTCACTCCTCACTCATCCCCACTCCCTGATTCTTTAAGCTATCACCACAAGCAGCTCTGCTGGGGGCTCACGCAGCAGCAGAAACATAATCCCTGTGACAATCACACCCTAATCCTGGGCTCTGGAAAGCCACTCGCTGTCACGGGTGCCTCCTCTGCAGCAGGGATGAATCCTCCCGGGCTCTGCTTGCAGAAAAGAGGCTTCCCTGCACTTACAAAGTCACACCTCAGCTACCTTTTCACTCAGGTGTGTTTGCTCACACAGCCTGCTCCCTGCAGCCCACTGTACACGCCTGCAGATCAGGCCAGGCCATAGAAGCAAGGAGGACAGAGAGATTACAAAGGAATGAATTCTTGTTTAACTACTCTTGCCTGATTATCAACCAAGAGCAAAGCCATAAAGGCTGAGTCCTTTGCCAGGCAGGCTCACACTGGGATCTGTTCATTGCAACGGTGGCAAAATAACTGCTCCAAATACTCAGTGCACTGATCCAGAGACCTATGGAGACCGAGGGGAAGGAGATGTTTGCTCCCCCATCCAGCCAGAGGAGATAAAGCTCAGCAGGCAGTTGCAGATGGCTCTGTGTCAATCTCTTACC